ATGTTGCCTACATGGCTGTAGTTTTTAGGGGTTTATATTTGGGAAACAAGGAGTGGCCGGCAGACTTGATTCCAGAGAGTGAAGGGAATACGTCTCCAGCAAAATTGGGTCAGTTATCTCTCTTTAAGAATTTGGATTAAGAATTGAATAATTTAATATCAATATAATGTTAAGTTTAATGTCCAATTATTGTAGTTGGCTAATCTGAGTGAATTTGAGGTACTTGGGTAATCTTTAGATTTTTGTCTAGGTTCTGAATAGGAGGATATTAAAGTGATCTTAACTACACTTCTATTTTTCCATTCTATTTTTATTATTTTCTTTAATTATAACTTTATGTAATCTATATTAATTGTCGTTTTCATATATTTTGTACTTTTTGTATGATGATAAATTATTGAAAAATTAAGATACAGACTAATGATTTTGTGCCTCTGGTTTATTACATGAGGGAAACCCAGCCAAGAAAAAGGCACCACAAACACAAGTAGCTAGTCAAATGTTAAAATATATCATTAAATACATGCATACACAGGCTACAGTATGTAATAAATCCTTACATAGGGTGGAACATAGGCTTCTATTGCAGACACTCACATGCAATAGTTAGATGATAAAATCAATATAAATGATTAACTGAGTAACTTTTAATTAGTTAGCAAATTAGTAAATTTTAAATGAGATACTTTTTACTTTTACTTGAGTAGATTTTTATACCAGTAACTTTACTGGTACTGAAAGTTCATTAAAGTAATCACACTTTTACTTAAGAAGAAGATTTTTGTACTCTTTCCGCCTCTGATCACACGCCTGCGCTGTACTGGGTTTCCTTTTTTAACCTGGATAAAAGTTGTCACTGTATAATTCACACTCTGGTTGTCACACTTTTCACACTGGCTAACATTTACTGGGCACCATCCATCACAATTGTATAAATGTCATACCAAATGAAAGAAGGAAGTCTTAGGGACATATTTTGTTTTCATTACATCTTCAGATCTTATCTCATTACGGAGTTGTAGACTGTTGAATAAAGAGTGTGCACTGACTATTAGCCCCACAGGCATGTAAGTTGTCACACTGCATCAGGTAAGTTGTCAAACTGGATTGTCAAAAACTAAGAACACAATTACTACTGATTTCTAATGGTTGGAACTGATGTGAGCAGCGGGGTGGGAATGACAGCATCATTTCTTTGGCATAATTCAGTCCATCAATGGAAATATAAGGCTTGTGGTTGTCCAAAAGGAGTAAACAGGACTTCTCATTTGAGAACTATGTTCATTGAGATGTTTCAGGAAATCAACAAAGTGTGTATCTTTCATCCATCGATAGGGATTACCCCCTCTGTTGCCAGGTGGCCCCTTGATCAGGAACTGATTGCGGAAGTTGACATGGAGGAAAATAAGTTTCCCGCATAGGCATGAACATCAGCTGGTGTGCCATGCCCAACTGTTAGGCATATCTTTTGATCTCACTCAGCAACAGACCAAAATTAACATCACAAGTTTAATAAGCTTCCATGTTAAAAATCTTCCGTGTGGCTTTTTATAACCAACTGTTGTTGTTGGCATGGCTGTCTGACTTCTTCTGTGGTGATCATTTTACAGAACCATGTCAGAGTATGGTAATATGGTAGTACAGTTATGTCAAAATGATTTGCTGTCCTGGTTGATTTGTTCTGCAACTTCACCCGTCTGGTTGCCTCTAATATTATAAGGTCAGGTGGTGTACAGCCATGCTCTTTTTTCTTTTTTTTTTGATAATTTCTAACCATCTTCCTTTAGGCTTGTGGCGCTTACCCAGTGCCTATTCCCGTAAGTAACGTCTTAGAAGACGGGGTAAGCGGGGAGGTGTACTGGTGAGATCCAAAGCCTACCTGATGCCCACCGATGAGATCAATCCTCGGCTCTGGAGCGATGGATGGTACCGTCGCTCCACTGTCTACTCACCGGACTTTAGAGGCCGATTTTATGAATCTTATTGACTTATTCAATCTTAACCAGTCAGTGACCGGCCCAACACATGAAAAAGGTCACACATTGGACCTTGTACTGTCGCACGGTCTCTGTGTCCATATTAAGGAAATCTGTAATATCCAATCACCTTCCTGTTCTGTTCACTGCTACCATCCCATGCTCCAGGATCACAGCTTGTCATCCTACTCGTCTTCAGCGTGCAATCAACCCTTCAACTACGCTGCAGTTTGCAAATGCTTTTAAAGAATCTAAACTCTGTAACTTGGATGGTGGATGTGGTCTCAGTGCTGCGGAGCTCATTTCCTCCTTTGGCTCCACCTGCACTGATATCCTGGACTCTGTTGCTCCTTTTAGAATTAAACTCCTAAAGCCATCCTCAGAACCATGGCTAAATAACACAACCCGCTCTCTTAGGCGTACTTGTAGACAAACTGAAAGGAAATGGAAAAAAGATCAGCTCCAGGTCTCCCTAGAAATTCTAAGAGACTGCCTTGCAAGCTATCAGAGAGCTGTAAAAATCGCTAAAACTAAATTTATATCCAACATTGTCTCCAACAATAATCATAGGCCCCAGGTTCTCTTCAAAAATCTAAACTCCCTTATAAATCCTAGTGATGCAGCTCAAATTGTGCCCAAACTTACATTATGCGAAGATCTAAAAACATTTTTTATTGGAAAGATTTCTGTGCTTAGATCTTTACCAAATTTCTCTGCCATAGACCCTTAAGTTCCTCCTATATACTCAGCTGTCTTTAAGCAGTTTGAGCCTGTATCACTCTCCTCACTATCTAAGATAGTTCAGAATCTGCGGCCTACAAATTGTCCCTAAGATATCCTTCCCTCTTGTCTTCTAAAGGACGTTTTTAATACTGTTGGGTACAGCATTCTTATTTGAATAAATACATATCTGAGCACAGGGTGTGTCCCAGCTGCTTTTAAACATGCTGTAGTGCAGCCTCTGGATCAGGTCTATTTCCAAACTACCTTTTCTCTCAAAAGTGTTGGAAAGAATAGTCCTGAACCAATTACAAACATTCTTCATCCATGGCATCCAGGGGAAGTTCCAGTCTGGCTTTAAACCACGTCATAGTACAGAAACAGCTCTTTTAAGGGATTTTAATGATCTCATTTTAACGGTGGACTCAGGCAACTCTGCTGTTCTGGTGCTTCTAGACCTGACTGCCGCCTTTGACACTGTGGATCACACAATCCTTTTATCTCGCCTTGAACACTGTGTAGGTATCAAAGGTATTGCCTTGAAATGGTTTCAGACATACCTGACTGATAGGAGCTTCTCTGTTCATTTAGCTGAACACTCTTCGTCAGCTGCTCCTCTCACCTGCGGGGTCCCTCAAGGCTCTATTTTGGGCCCTATCCTCTTCTCACTGTATATGCTGCCACTGGGTTCCATTTTCCAGAAACATAACATCTCCTATCACTATTTTGCTGATGATGTCCAAATCTACTTGCCTATGAAATCCATAACCAAAGAGTCTGTGCAACCATTGTTAGACTGCTTAAAGGAGGTAAAAACCTGGATGGAGTTAAACTTCCTCACTCTGAATGAAAATAAAACAGAGATCATCACGTGTGGACGTTTAGACGTACTGGGTGACCCTCTTGGCACTTTGGGCCCCTTAGCCTCCCAAAATCTACTAAAAATCTTGGTATTATTTTTGACACCTCATTCACGTTCAATAAGCAACTCATTGCAGTCGTCAAGACCAGCTTCTTCCAGTTAAGCCTTCTAGCTAAAATAAAGGCCTATCTCCCTCCCAAAGACCTTGAAAAAGTCATCCATGCTTTTATTACTGCTCGGCTGGATTACTGTAATTCATTATACATGGGTCTAAATCAGAAATCTTAAAATCGCCCCAGTTAGTCCAAAATGCAGCTGCTTGCCTTTTAACAAAAACAAAAAAGCGTGAACGCATAACTCCTGTCTTGGCCTCCCTCCACTGGCTACCTGTCCATTATAGGATAGATTTTAAGATTTTATTGCTTGTTTTTAAGGCCTTAAATGGTCTGGCGCCATCTTATCTAGCTGATCTCTTATGCCACCATTCTCCAGTAAGAACACTGAGGTCAACAAATCAGCTGCTCCTGGATGTCCCAAAATCAAAGCTTAAAAAAAAGGGCGCCAGAGCCTTTGCAGTGGATGCCCCCATCCTATGGAACAACCTCCCCATGCATATTAAAGCTGCACAGACCCTACAAACATTTAAATCGCTGCTTAAGACCTATTTGCAGTAGCGTTTAACTTTCGTTACCTGTTTTCTGATGTTTTAAAGTGTTGTTGTTTTGTTTCACTTTGGTTGTAGTATTTTTATACTTGTTATTTATGTATTTGACATCGACCCTGTTCAGCACTTTGGTCAACTGTTTTTAAATGTGCTATAGAAATAAAATTGACATTGACATATTAGGGGTGTGCAATATGTCATTTGTGCAAGGGTTGTGCTACATTGTGGGGAATGCAGCCGACAGAGTTGTTAAATAAAAACTGGCATTGGGAGAAGGAGTCAATGTGCTACTAGGTAACTGTCTAATGTATTGTGTTGCATGAGATTATGTGTTGAGAGATGCTTTATTTCTGTATTTTGTATTGTCTTGTAAAGCTGCAGAACAGACAGAGTCAAAAACAAATTTCCCTTCAATGACAATAAAGTATATCTCTTTATCATTGAAATCTCTTGGAGCACGATAATCGCAGTGTCATCAGAGCAGGAACACGATGAAATCCTGAAGAAAGTTATGGAGAGAGCAAGGGAAGCAAAGGTGAAGTTTAACAAAGATAAAATCCAGTTTAAAATCGACACAGTGAGATACATGGGGCACGTCATAACGGCAGCAGGACAGAGGGCTGACGACACAAAGATCAAAGCGATTGCCGACACGCCGGCCTCAGAAGACTAACAAAGCCTCCAACGCGGCTGGGAATGACAAATTTCTGGCGCAATACATACCAAATGAAGCCTCACTCACAGCGCCCCTCAGACAGCTGCTTAAGAAGGATGTAGCATGGCAGTGGTGCTCACACCACAGCGCAGCGCTACAGACACTGAAGTCTACCCTCACACAAGCTCCAGTGCTGAGGTATTATGATCACAAAAAGCCACTAATGCTACAAGCAGACTCCTCAAAAGATGGACTGGGGGCCTATCTGCTGCAGGAAGGTTGCCCAGTGTGCTATGTCTCATGAGCGCTCACCAACACCAAAAAAAGGTACGCACAAATAGAGAAACAGTTGCTTGCTATAGTGTTTGCCACCAAGAGATTCCACCAATATGTTTATGGTAGAACAGTAATCGTGCAGTCTGATCATAAGCCTCTGGAGGTCATCGTGCGCAAGCACAGCACCAGCGCGCCTGCAAGGAATACTGCTACAACTGCAAAGGTATGATCTAAGCATCAATACACACCAGGCAGGCACATGTACATTGCCGACACACTCTCATGCGCTACTGCGAGCAGGAACGGAGGAAATGTTAACGAGAACCCCTGTGATGAGAGAGTTGTGTATGCCTTAGAGGCCACAGACGCCCTGAGTGAGGAAACACTCATCCAACTGAAAGAGGCAACCACAGCAGATAGCGTGTTACAAGCTGTGTGTGAGAAACATAAAAAAGGTTGGCCTACGAAGAAGTGTAGTCTAGACAGAAAACTACACTGCTACTGGGTGATGCGGCAAAATATCAGCATACTAAACGACATTGTAATGGTCTGAGACAAAATCGTCATACCCCAGAGCTTCAGGAGTGCAACGCACAAAGGCAAAGCATGAAAAGTCCTCTACTGGCCTGGCATGGCATGAGACATAGAGACAATGGTGGAAGTGCATGCAGTGCCAGCAGCTACAGGCTAAACACCAGGCAGAGCCGCTTGTCCCACATCAGGTTCCAGACCAGCCATGGATGAAAGTTGGAGCTGACATCTTCGAGTTGAGTGGTCAGTTGTATCTTCTGTTAGTCGATTACCTGACCAAATATCCTGAGGTGCTCAACATACCTGATAAAACAGCTTATACGGTTATTCAGAAAATGAAGTCGGTTTTCGCCAGGTACGGGATTCCTAGAGAGCTAGCAAGCGATCATGTCCCATTCGCCTGCTATGAAATGAAGTCGTTTGCAGATTCATGGGAATTCAAACTCACACATTTTAGCCCAGGTTTCCCCTCTTCAAATGGAATGGCTGAGCGGGCCATAAAGACTGTGAAGAAAGCCATGCAGACCGGCACTGATCCACATCTGGTGTTTTTGTCTTTGAGGAACACACCAGTGACAGGACTGAACATGCACAAATGTTGATGGAAAGAATCCTGCGGAGCACACTTACGTGTTCCAGTGCTGTGCTGAAACGGTCAACCCCCCAGCACATCCAAGACAAAATACAGGACCTGCAGTCACGCCGAAAGCAATACTAAAACCAGCATGCAAAGTCACTGCCAGCGTTGACCCCAGGTGACACCGTACACATGCAGACACAGCAAGGAATTGGGAGCCTGCAGTTGTCATCAGGCAGAGAGATGAACTACGCTCCTACACCGTGCAGACGCCGCAGGAAGGATGCTCAGGAGGAACAGGCGACATCTGAGGAAGATACACCCGAGTCTCTTCAGAGACACTCGCTTTGAGGAACATTTGGACTCAGACGTACAAGCTTCTCAGACACGTGAGTCAGATGATACACCATCGTAAGACCCGCCACCACAAGATTCTCCCCCTGTGAGTATGGACAGTAGACCTACATGCTACACCAGAGGTGGTAGAGCGGTCTGACGCCCTGCCAGGTACAGAGACTGATCTCATGGACAATTCATGCTGTTGTTCAATAAGTGTGCCTAGAGGGTTTTAAAAAATAGCACTTGCAGTTAAAAGGAAGGGGGTGATGGAGTGTTTAACTTGAAATGTTTTATGTATGTTCAAAATGTTTGCATGCTTCATACAAGAATGCAGAACAGAAAAGTGGTTTGGAATGATTTATGGAAGCCATTGGTTCATTGAACACATGCTTTATTAATTATTGAAATATACATGTTGAAAGTAGGCATGTTTAATGTTGCCACACCTGAGTTAATGGCTAAAGTTTAGGTAGCTGATTTTGTGGGACCACCTCCCACCACCACCTCTTGGAAAAGAGGGATGTGGTAGCCTATATTAGATTGAGCTCGACTGTGTTGCACTGTCAATGTTGCTACTGGGTGTTCGGGTTGTGATTTGGGCTCCTGTTGTAGAGATGTTGAAATGCGAATAAAGACGTGCTCGTACCGCAGCCTTGCCTCCGTGTATATGATTGCATAGTAGTCTAACCCACAATCTATTATACTATAGCAGGGTGTCCGCGGGGTCTTAAAAAGTCTTAAAAGGTAATAAATCAATTTTTGCGAAAATCAAGGCCATTAAAAAGTATAAAAAGTCTTGATCGCCATTTAACAGGGTATTAAATTTTGTGGATATTTTTGTCAATGTGAACATCCTTTTTGTCCAAAGAGTTTGTATAGTAAAAGTGTGGGTGAACATATTTATTTATAGGCGTATTGCGTAGCCAAAATTACTAGACAGGCAGAACGTAACGAGTTATTATTTTGTGTGACGTTAGGCGCAGGGATCTAGGATCTACCGTGCGAGCCTTTCACTCTCATACGCCCCTAAAAATAGATCCGTGCGAACCGAAAAACTGATTTACGAGCACAACCGACTGCAACCTTCCACCACGCCGGATCCCCAATGCTAACTGTTCAAAACGTGGTCGGACTGAGCTCTGTGGCCGCTTGAACAGCCCCGTTACTCAAAAACAAGAGCAAGATGCGCAGTCAGCAGGTGAAGCGGTAAGACAGCAGACAACAGGGAGAATATAAGCAGCATATTGGTTTGGCTAACGTTAGCTGGTTATTTAGCTACATCTGTGCCTTTTTATTAAAACACGTTCAACTTTTCATAAAGCCGAATATGAATATGTTTTCGGTGTTGCACTTTGTAGACTGTCCCTGCGCACTCGTCTCACAGCTGGCTGCACGTAGAGACCAATGTTATTTGTGCCGCTCCTAGGAAGACTCATTTATGTGACAATGTACTTGTAGCTTGTTGTCTACTTAACTACGATAATAAAGAGGAGTCGTTTGTGTTTCAAACATATTTTGCTTATGAGTTATTGATCCCGGAAGCTCGAATCTCATTTGTACTAGTTTCTCCTCCAGGTTGTGGATCGAGCCACTGTAGTGGAAAGATTTAGCCAGAGCCAGGATGCCATTGTGCCAATATGTGCTGCTTAGCCTCCTCCTCCTCCTGAGAGCAACACGTTCCCCTTGTTCTATTTACATCTGTTTTACTAAAGTTTACACAAATCAGCTTTAGGATGCAGAGGTGGGCTGTGTGGTTTTTTTGGTGGCTTCTAGCAGTAAGGTTTCAGATTGCAACCAAGAGCATACGCTTTACATATTTGTGACTGAAAATAAGTTACAACTATGTGAGGTAGTTATCAACTGGTCGGCGTTTACAGGCAAGCTAACATTATCTAGTTTGAACCAACTAAAACACAAAATCACACTGTTTCACATGTTTTGCAGTAATGTTGCGCACATAAACATCACAGCCTGTTTAAGACAATGGATTTTCGCAGGAAATCCGACGAGTCCTTCACATAGAAAACAGTAGGCCTAAACAGGCTATTATAGGCAACTGAGAAAGTTGGTGAATGCCTCAATTTTTAGGTGAGGTTACAACCTGGTCATGTATAGGTAATAAAATGTTATAGATATGTTTAAATACCTTTTAAAATCTCCACAATTCCCCTTTTAAAGGTGTGAGGCTGACTTAACCGGTTACAGCTGAAAGTGGCGCAGCAGTCTTAAATTATGTTGAAAAGGTCTTGAAAAAGGTCTTAAAAGGTATTGAATTTCACTTCTGGATTCCTGTATATACCCTGTATAGTAGTAGACCTTACATAGAGACGCACCAGTTTAATCATTGTTGTATGTCTTTGATATATTTAACCTCACTGTGTATTCACTTTAGTTAGTTAATAAATTTCACCTTAATCACAGGAACTGTGTGTGTACTGTTTAAATCCAAGTCACTGGACGGAGGACTCACGACTTTGATATGAGACCAACTGATTGATTAAACTGATTCAAAATGATTGGCAATTATTAACTAGCTGATCACTAGTAAATAATTGTGTAATTATTAAAGCTATACCCAAGGAGTCCTAAAGCCTTGGGCGGACAGCAAATTTTAGGTGGTGCCCCAAAACGAGTGCAAAAATAATATTTCCTATAACTTTATTAAAGATAAATACATAGGTTTGCTACACTACTTATTTGTATTCATGTGTATTACAATTTGAGAGCAGTCAATAAGAAAACATTTTGCTGCAATGTTTACATCCTATACTGTGTTCATTAACTAGGATGTTGCTGGAATCAGTACAGTTACAGACCCCCTGGTCTTCTAGTACCAGCGCAGTGAGGAAGGATGCTACTGTAGGCCTAGCACAGTGGTTCTCTACCTTTTTTGGGCCAGCACCCCCCTATCTAGTATCCAGGTCCCTTGCTGGCCCCCATCGAAAAAGATGTAGGCTATTTGCCCTGAATATTGTTGATTAATATTATTATTGTTCTTGTTGTTACCATTGTTATTAAAAACATGACAAATCACACAATTAAATGATAAACAACATTTATTACTATCCCAGGGTACAAAAAGCCATTTAATTAATAAGTATATAATTGTTCCTGTCATAAACTTTGTGTAAACCCAGAATTTTCTTGGATGGGGAATTAATAAGTGGGGGGTCTGGGGGTCATCTCCCAGAAGATTTTGAGCATTAAAGACTTAATTTTCTGCATACTGGTGAACTTTTCAGCACCGATTTACATAGACACACAAAATTCAGGTGGCAGGTGACAATTCAGAATATAACAATATAATGCAGTAAGGCTCTCAGGTATTCTTTATTGCTTTGAAATATGTTTCTCCTGTAGATCTTATTTAATATCATCCCTGCTGAGTCAACACACATGATGTAGTCTTCGCTACTCTTTTGTGTCTTTTGTTGATGATGGTAAATTAATTCATTTTAATTCAGTTATTAACTCCTGGACTTTAATTGGCTAGCTAATCTGTTTTAGCAGGTTTTCTACTCATGTTCATGTATTTAAACAGGATAACTGCAGGATATAACAGGAAAATACGGGAGAATCCTGGGGAAAACGGGAGGTTTAACAAGTATGCAACACTTCAGGCAGAAATTTCACCACAAATCCACATACACGTTAACTTCAGCACCCCGGATAAAGTGCAGCTCACAGTCCCAAATATAGCAAGTTTGCGCCTCAGTTACATTTTTACTCTCACGGCACTCACTGGTGTCGCATCAGGTGCTGGATGCTAAGTTGCTTTCAGGGTAAATCTGACAACGGAATATCCCCCTTGTAAATGTGATTGCAAAGCATTCATGGTGTATTCCTCAGAGAAATTAACGCTTTTAAGAGAAAGACATTTTCCATTGTAATATCAAGAAAGAGCGTATCCATTGGGTATCATCTGAAATTTTACAGATGATACTCTGACTTCTGTTCCCATGAAGGCAGCACGGAGCTGCGCCACTAGAAGCTGAAGAGAAGAAGAGTTACAATACACAACGTCTTGCTCCAGTTGCAGTGGAGTAAACTGGCGGCAACTGTTACATATGGTACTGCTTATATTATTTCACCAACTGATACAAAGTACTGAATGCGGATGGGGATGTGTGATAATAAAACATTAAAAGGTAGCTGTAGCAACTTACAGAGTCTACCTAATCAACTAACTAAAATATTACATGGTAATTTGGCATCTTTGTAGTTTGTGTGGTTTTTATATAGAGATTTGTGTTTCCAGTGTCTAAGTCTTATATCATAATGGCCATGTATACAGTACAGAGTGGCATAATACAGCATAATAAGAGTGCCCAACGGTAGGAATGAAATGCAATAAATAGTTGTTCAAATGTTGCAGAAATTGGGTCATATTGTGACTTTGAATGTTTGTACATTGGAGATGTTCAGCTTTGAGTATTCATAGTCTACATAGTCACATTTTTGGCAACATTAGTCATTGGATTTTCAAGAACAACATTCTATGTCGAAAAAATCTTTAGAGAAAGACAAAACAGGTTCAACATGTTTCCAGGTCGTCATGTGCCAACACTGTTCTGTTTGCCACTTGCCAGTCCATCATGGGTCGCTTTGCTCTGTACTTCCTTCTCCTGATGACTTTGCTGCTTCTCTACAATGACATCACAATCACATTTACTACTGAACAAGTGTACAATATATACCATGGCATGGCTTGTTTCTAATGATAAAAATTATTATTTTTTAAACATGTGGGTAACTCACTAACGGCTTCAAATGACAAAACTTGTCACTTGTAACAGCATACTTTCTCACATTTATGTTTTTTCCAAATAATGGTGAAATCACAAGTTAATTTTTCTTTATTTTTTAGCTCAAACAACAGTTCCAAATATCAGCCAAACAGGTAATGTCAACAACACCACAGTGTACACTAATAATTCTTTGGTCCGGTTGACTTGGGGAAGAGACACTTTGTGACTTTAGTTATTACCTTCAGTGTGTAGTATAGGAGGCAACAGCAGGGAGTGTCGAGCTCTTTTGTTACTCTGCTCCACTAGATTATGCACTTCAGTGGATGAGGTGGTTCGTGAATATTATTATTTATTATTATAAATACTTTTACTACTTTTAGATCATACTGGCAGGCTCATCTTAGATTGGCTGGCTAAGTGTTAATTGTGTAAATTTCTGTCCATGGATCTTAATTGACAGCTGTAACTTTGTTATTTGTCTTGAATTATTGTTTCACCAAAACCGTGTGTGCTCCAGGCTGTGCAGGTCCTCCAGTGCTGTGTTGTGCTCGTCAAAATAACAGCTGTTTTAGGGGAGGATGTTTTTGTGATGAGGTCTGTGTGTCAGTTCGGGATTGCTGTCCTGACCACAGCTCCACGTGCACACAGCGTAAGTGAAGCAGAACACAAGAAATCAAAGGTGCATCATTTCAAGCATTCAGTCTTAAGTCAGTTTAAAATCTTTTCTTCTTGACTACAGATTTCACTACTGCACTACCAACTGGATCCAGTACAACCATAAACAGCACCACGTCTACACCAGTAGATGGCAGCAATACCACAGCATCCATTACTACAAGTAAGTCATTAAGATGTTCTTTGCTGAAGCTGTTTCAATAACTCATACTTGCTGGACTATATTTTCATCTCGATGCTGAAAGTTTGTTCCACATCTTGTAATAAAATGTATTGATGTTCTCAGGGCCAGAGTCAACAATAGTCCTCAGCAGTTAGCATTCAGTCTAAGTCAATTTAAAATCTTTTCTTCTTGACTACAGATTTCACTACTGCACTACCAACTGGATCCAGTACAACTATAAACAGTACTACATCTACACCAGTAGATGGCAGCAATACCACAGCATCAACAGTTTCTATTACTACAAGTAAGTTATTAAGATGTTTTATGCTGAAGCTGTTTCAAAAACTCACACTTGCTGGACTATATTTTTATCTCTATGCTGAAAGTGTGTTCCACATCTTGTAACTAAATGTATTGATGTTATCAGGGCCTGAGTCAACAATAATCTGAAGTAGGTATGTTGCTGCCAATCCATGCTCAATAACGCCTCAAGCTTTTGACAATTTCACTGTCCTCAGGGCCGACGCGGACAGAAACAGGGGTTGTTCACCTTCACTTATCTGCTTTAACCCATAAGGAGGAAAGTGAAGATGTGTTAGAGGGTGTGTCTACTGTAAGTAGCCTACATGTAATTTGCAAATAAGCTTCATGAAATTTGCAAATAAGATTCATGAAATTACAGTCTCACAAAGAGACCGTCCATCACACCGTTTCCACGTGTAGCTTGTTCAGTGTGTGTTTCTTTCTGTTCTCTCAGTTTGTATCCCATGTCCAAGCACTTCTCCAGCAGAGCTGTGGAGGATGCACCCTGAATATAACACGCATCAAACTCACCCGTCCATCATCTGTGTGACCGGGTCCATGGTGCAGCTGGTCCCGAGGAGACAGCGGAAGTAGAAGTGTTGCAGCAAACCTCCACCCTCAGGTGGTTGAGGGTTATTAGCCTAGCATATATGTAGGCTTTTCTTTGTTAGTTTTATTTTTTTCACGTTACACCCCACCTTCCCCAGGCCCTGTCACCAACGACATCTTGGTTTTAAATATTTTTCCAGATGTTTTCCTATAATATTTGGTGTCTTGTAGTCATTAGTCTATAGGTGTTTTGCTCTGTTGTGGCAGGAGGGTTTTGACCGGATTCACACACAGCAGCATGAACAAACTATAGTTCCGAGCAGCCCAGTGATGACAAAGGACTACATTTCTAAACTATGCTGTTTTCTATCATATTGTTTTACTGCCATAACATGTGGTTCTGTCAAGATGTGAACACTGTTGCAAGGGTAATATTAAAGTATTTTGCACAAAAAGTTACATGATTGTAATGCTGTGGTTTCATTGGCTAAAATAAGAAAGCACTGCATGCATCAATTAAGGAAAGCACATTGCATGGAAAAGAATATTGAGAAACTTTCATGAGGATCATGCATCTCATACAATTCAATTCACTTAGCCATACAATTCTTCCCTTAAATTGAAAAAAATTTAAATTAAATTATCGATTATATCTCCATAATTTCACTTATGGGTTGGATAATACTAATGAACGCTTTTTTTAAAAAAATCTTCAGTTAGCACTCAGCAGTATCAGGTCAGAGTTAAATATTTGGGCTGCCTCCCCAAAGTATCAGGGTAATGTTGTCTGTCCAGGTATCTACTCGTGGTGACCCCAGCACTTCAAGGGAGGAGGATGAGGCAAAAATTTAATTATGAGGGGGGGAAAGAGAGGAAACGGGTCCACATGGCCTCGGGGACCGGTATAACCTCTAGAAGCGGATAGTTCAAATTAGACCAGTATTATCAGTGCAGACCCACCTTTGACCCTGGAGATTTAATTGCACGGAAGCCCCAAATGCAAACGTGTAAATGGGTTTCTTTCTTTCCTTGGTGCGCGTCTGCCGGGGCATCTGATCATTCTGTAGCCTACCTGTTCAGCCGCCCAACCCGATGCCAAGCCGAGGCGTCCTCCTCCGCAAAGGGAAGCGACTTGTGGTGCAAATCAGAAAAGCGTGTGTTCTCTTGATGTTCCTCTCCACGATCGCGCTGAGCAATTGAAGTTAATTCTACAGAGTGAGTCTCGGGATCACATTTCGCCACAGCTTTGTAAACTTAGATCATATGGGGTCACCGAGAGGTTGAAGCGGCCCTGTAGCCGCGCGTCGAGTCTCCAAAGATCAGTTACAATGTAATGGCAAAGGAATGTCGCTCAGACCTGGCTATAGCATGGAGCCTTTGGCCCTAATTACAGCCATTTTGTGAGCGGGATGTCATTTTATTTTATTCAGAAACATTGTTTGCGTCCTGCAATATATGATCTATAATTACTGTAGAGGACGACATCTTAGAGTGCAATTACACAGCACAACAGTTATTCATTTATCCTTAAAATTCTAACACAAGTCTAATATAAATGTAACCCTTATCTAATTTGTTCAGTATGTTCAGTAAAATGAAATTGAATTCAGAGAATGGAAAATCCAATGGCAGGGCAATACTCTCTCTCTCTCTCTCTCTCTCTCTCTCTCACACACACACACACACACACACACACAGTGTCCGTGTTGTCCACACCATCAGTCTCTTAAGGTATCCCTGGTTCCCTGTGGTGTGTGCATGTCGAAGGCCCCAGTGTTATTGATCCTGATTGGGCCTCACAGGAGGAGATTCCGGCCTGCCATTGACCCACACTTCTCCATGTTTCCACCCTTCTCTCAGATCATCAGAGGCAGCCGTCTCCTCCTGCCTGCCGGCCTGGCTGCCTCCTCGCATGAGATTTCTGATTGTCAGATGGAAGGGGGAAAAGGGGAAAAATGAACTTACTACAGGTTTTGCCAAATCACTAGCAGCTCTGGTCTGAGTAGTCCGCACTGACGTTTTTCTGGCTTGGTGACTGTCAAAACATCCCCCCATGCGTTCGTACCCTCCCTCCTTCTCCTTAGAAAGCCTGTGGCTCACAGGCTGCTCTCTTCTTCAAAGTAAAACTTCTCCACCATGTGGCCTGTGTTGAATTTTTGTGTTGACTGCTGCCCGGTATGTATGAACTCCTCGTAGGGGTCCTTGTTCTCCTCGTCGCTGCCTATGCACTTGAAAAGTGTCATGGCAAGGAAGGAGTAGAAGACCATGACAAACAGGATGTAAAAGTAAGCATTGTCGTAAGTCTCCCTGGTACTGGACGATGGACTGGTGCTGGACCGAGGGCTCACTGTGGTGCTGGAAGCGGTCTCGTTAGTTTGCTGTCCATTGATGCCAACACCGGTGTCCTCCAGAATCTGCTGGCATCTGGAGAGAAGAGGAAGCAGGAGGGTCCGGTTCATGCGTTTCATACCAGAATTACGGGAAGACAGACTAAGCAAAGAAACAAAATAAACCAAAAGCATTAGACAGAAAAGGTACAAGAGCGACTGAGAGAGCGCTACAGATGGAAAGTGTGAGAGGCAAGCCACTCACAACTTTAGGAAAGGCATGCTGTGAGTCATCCACCCGCTCTTCAAGAGACTTGATAAGGTGGTATTTCAGAGATAAAGCCCACTCCTTCTTTCGTATTGAATGCAGCCAAGATATCATAAAAGCACAAGTATGACCTCAGAAAGAAGTGTACAGAACTGTTTAAAAAGAAATTAATCTGAATCAGTAACACACTGATTTCAATTCTCCAAGGACATTCTGGCTCAACATTTTCTAAAGCTGCCTTTTAACTCTTTTTCCTATCTGAAACTCTCTTCTTTTTTTCCAGCTCGTCCTCTTTGTGCTCCCTCCTTCACTTTCAATTTTGGACATTGGAAGCTGCAGAGACGCTCGGATTGTTGTCAGCTCCGGTCAAGTAGTCTGCTCATTTCAAAGAGTGTTGGGGTCAGAGGTTAAGTTGTCTCCAGTGTGTTGCTGCTTGACTGACACTCCACTCCAAAGCAACCCCTTTGGCTTTTTCACTCATTGTGTCTTACAAGTTGAGTACTTGTAAAAAAATAAAAATAAAATAAAGTTTGTAGAGTAAAGAAAACAGTGAAATGTGATCTTATCTGTTGGACACCCAGCACAAACACGTGCACAAAAAAAATATTTTAAACACACAAAAACACATTCAGTGTATTCTCATGCTTTGTACATATGCCACAAATGACATGAACAGCTGCATACCTGATCCCTAAACCTCCAGAAGAAAAGGGAGGGAATCACAGTGAGTGATAAAAATGCAATGGTGATATCTGTAACCTTTTGAGGAGTCTGCCAACTGGGTGAACAGTGTTTTCATTTCTGTTTGGCAGCAAGAGCCGAAACCCTTCTGAACCCTGCACAGCCGTGTCAGTGACTGTGTGCCACTGTGCTTATATAATTTATAGCAGCTCTGCTTTAGTCATTAAGGGGTGTGAAGGAGCCCCTAGAGAGCAGGAATTTGTCCAAAAGGAGTGTTTATGAAAGGGATATATTTATGATTTAGTGCCCCAGGAGTGTGCACAAGGGATGCAGCTCACATATAGTAGGTATTGTCACGATCCTGCTCATCTGGATGTAGATAAAAGGGGGCAAACAGCTGGCATGTTTAAAATGAAAAGAAAAAGAAAGACAAAATCTCTAGTTTAACCAAGTAAAGTAAATCACAGGGCCCTTGAAAGGAATATAGAAATACTGAAGTCTTGAGTCCCCTCTAGGCACCCCCTCACTACCCAGAAAAATAAAAAAGAAGGTCTCACGTTTTTTGATGACTTCACTATTTCATATTTTATCTTTTCGGTTCCCTGTTCAATTAAATCTACTCTAAATTTAATTTCATGAATGCCTAAACGGTGTTTAAAAACCTCCTCCACACTGCCAAGAATACAATGCTGAAGCATTTCAGCCTAAAGTTATTTGTTAATTTGTTGGCCTAAAATCAGCCTAATTTAAACATACAGAGTCTTTGCCATAATTATACATATAAAATACATACATTCCTATATTTATAGAATGTAAATTCCTGCTGGGTTGCCAAAACAAATAAAAACACAACTTTAAAAAAAAAGTAAATGAGGACACGAACTCATTCTCCTGAGTGGTAACAACAGCCATTGTATCCCATAAATAACACCCACTCAAAGTCACAATTTTATGCATTTTTATAGAGTTTATTATAAATAGTAAATAGTGCTGGATTGTACACAAAACTTTATACAGCAAAATCATTTTACAACAATGGAAATGAAAATTATACAAAAGAAAAAAACATGTATAATGAACACTGTGTAAGACTTAAGCACTTAGGAGCGCTCAACACAAGACGTAGATAAGAGACATAACACTTGAACAACACTAAATAAATAAGAAATGGGACTAATGTTTGCAAGTTCCTGGTGAAAACAAATTTAACACATGCAGGAAAAAAAAATTAACTGTCAAACTGAATAATGTATTCACTGGCAGAGAATTTTTTGGCATCATGACTATGTTTGCTATTTTTCATCACTTGATGACTTCCCCTGATTGATCAATGCACACAACCCAAAATGAAGAACATTAAAAAGAGAGCATATTTTTGAGGGTATAATCAGGGGGCATTTGATCCGTGTTCATTTACATCACATGAGGTATGAATGTATTGCACTTTCTTTGGGTTGCAGTGGTTCCACTATGACTCCACTCCGCCTCGATTCATGCCTTTCTGCTGGTTTTCCCGGTGTAGTCATATTAATATCTCCAATGTCTTATACAAGAATCACATCAATGTACAGTAAATATTATTTTCCTATGACATGGTGATGAAGAGAAGCACAGGGGGAGGGCTAACAAAGTCCGCCTCAACTTGCACCTCTGCCACCTTTTAATCGAATACAGAATCTTGAATGTATTTACTCCACTTTTCCCATCCCTCTTCCTTTACTCTTTAAGCATGGACAACAAACCGTGCTTGGTCCTTGGAGCATGACGTGATGCACAAGCAAAGCGACTGGCAGGTAACAGGAGAGGCTGCGCCTTTGGTCCTAATTTTTCCAGTCAACCACCTCCATCGCCATCGCTACACCTCCATCTCAACTCTTTCCCTCGCCAAAGAAGAAAACCTCAACCCCTACACCCACCCAACCTCTCTCACTGTCCTCGGGGCTGGGAGGTCCAGCAAAAGCTGGTGGGAGGGGTGGCTCTCTGGCGATGAATGTCAGACTGGCCGGGAAGCCTCCAGTTCAGGCAATGTTGCGGGCTTCATATAATGAAAGGCACCTGAGGAGAACACGGAAAGACAGAAGTAGGGTTAAAGAGATTCTTTGCATTTTATTCAGCTTGAACTGCTTAAATCATCTGATGGCCGACTTAGCAAAAAGTGTGAAATGGGAAGTTAAATGAGAGGT